ATTCCTCCCAATAAGGAATGACGAAGGCCACGGGCCACATGACAAACGGGACTCGTTGCGGCTGGGCTGGATGGATTGGTTGCACGAGCCAGAGATGTAGCTGAATCTCAGATAACTCATTAAAGTAAATTAAAGTTACTTGCTAAAACATAAAAGAAAACAAGTTCGCAGCACAACCACTACACCCAAATTTTAGACTTGAAACTATGAATTGGAGCCCATTCTCGATTTGGCCCACTGCTATACACGCATGAATTGAACATACAAGTTCCATCACCCTCCCTTTTTCCCGACAGTCCAGGCTTGATCGGTGGTGGCATTGCGGCCATTGGTTGCCAGACCGCCCATCCAGTGCCTGGGACGGCCGAAAGATCGGGTCAAAAATGGGCAAGAGATCCCGCTTTTTGTTGTTTTCCTTCACATGCCAAAAACTGGTAGGCTTGAATACATGTTGAACAATCTTGGGGTTAAGGCCACCTGAAGTCGGCCCAAAACAACAAGGACATCCAGCTCCCAAACCCATGGTCGCTTTTCCAGAAGGCTGCCCTGTGCTGCATGGAGTTGAAGTTTCTTATCACCTGGGACCTGAGATCCTGCTTCTCCACCGAGAAGAACAGGATGGCCACCCCAACTGACCCCGGTTCTTTGCTCCGACGAGGCTGGCTTTCGTCTCTTGCCCACCTACGTGGTGCTCTCCTTTTGCCACGGCATCATGCAGGTTTGGCCCAATTTGTGCGCGCGGGTTTCGACGGCTTGGATTGCTCGGTAGAACCTGTCAAACGGGTAAGTATAGTAAGTATATATAGGGATATTGTGTAGCTGGGTCTTCTGAATCCCAAATCAGACAGTGTGGACTCCAAATCGAGTATGATACGTCACTTGGTTTATATATGATCCACCCCAACAACCCCAGGTCACGAAAGGCGCAAGTGGCGCCACGGCTCGTCGGGTCCATAGATGGCCTTTTACATCCTTTTACTATTGGGTGGTTGATTGAATCGAGTCAATAGAGGGGATACCCCCAAGTGAACCACCAACATAGGTAGTACCAAGCCGACCCCTCTATTCTTCACAAAAGAACATCATTGGGTCAGGTCCTCTTGAATTTGCAGCTCTTCGCCTCCGGCGTCCCCTTGCACGCAATGACCTCCGTCCGAGCGGGCCTCATGGGCAAGGCCAGCGGACGAACAGTACAGCACCGCTTGTTCTGTTGTCTTTTTGTTGGGGTGATCTTAGGGCATTGTGAGTTTTGACGTACTTGAGAGGAACAAAGTAAATGGCGTAAGGATAACATCAAATTGAAATACCTGACCCGAGGTCCCGAGCTAGGTGGTGGTGTGATCAAGTTCCCTTTTCCTTTGGCATATCATGCACCAAATTCGTTTTGTCGAAAGACTGCCCATCCCAGCGCATGTCAATGAATTTGATACGTACGTATGCTTAAGCTTTTCACCTACAACTGCAGATTATGTTTAAAGTGGATCCAGTTGCTGTTTTTATTTCCCCAAATCCTAAGATTTCCTTGTTCACTCGTTGCACAGTTCCCTTCTTTGGTCCGGTTTGGCCGCAAGAACCGAGCCTCGTCCGCAGCTCGCGGTTGGGACCCTGGTGGCTTCGCCGCTGGTGATGTTCTTGGGCATGGTCCGGGAGGCCCAGAGGTGAAGAGAGCTTGGTGCCATGGAGCTTGGAGTTCTTGGGTGGCTGTGTGTTTTGTTTGTGTGTTGTTTTATTTCGTGAAAACGGCCTATATAGATGCATTCGCCAATTGAGCTTCCACAAGATTCCTTGAACACTAGTCTATATAGATGTTTCCTCTCTCCTGCATTCATTAGGTTCCGCAAGAAGACCTTCGGCATACATGGACCACAAGTCAATGCTTGCCACTGAAGGATGTTGTTTTAAAAGATGATCCACAGCCTTCGTGATGCTGAGGGCATGGGCTACTGTTTGCACAAGGACCGGCGACTGTTTGATTCACGTGTCCCAGAGTCGACTCACGTTCAGCTCAGTAGTGCATATCATAACCATATATACCGCATCGGTTCAAGTCCCTTCTGACTCAAACAAGCGATTTGGTCCTTTTTGGTGTCCTTCAAGAAAAATGAGGACTTCCAAGAATTTCACCAATTCCGAAACATCGTTGGAGATTCTTGGAAGTCGTTGGCTCCAACAAAGAGCCATACTATTTTGCAATCCTTTGGCCTATTTCTGCAATCGTTCATTGGCTCCACACGAGGAGTTTCAGCAGGTGCTCCATGCCTCAACGCCCGTTCCGGCCGCGCCCGCCCCGCTGCCGGCCACGCCCGCGCCGGCACCTGGCAATGATGCGCCCGGCTCAACCAGTCGTCCACTGCCTGCGGAGGAGCAGTGGCGTTTCGGAGCCGCCTGATGGGGCACCTGAACCAAGTGGAGAAGTTGCGCCGTATTTTTTTGTTGCACTTGGTTTGAAAGAATTGTAAGTGTCAATTCTAAGAATGTTCCAGCAACTTAGATTTGTGTGACCAGATTGATAGACTGATAGACTGATAGATGATAGGTTGATAGACCACCCATACTGCAGATGTTGCTTCCTGTCCCATTTCAACTCCTTGGTTGACCAGATGAATGCGAACAACACCTTGAAACTACTTGACTCCTTGACTTGATTTCAACATATCAAGCTCTCGAGTCTAGAAGCCTGCCCTGATCTTGGTCTCTAAGGTTGTTTACACATAGGGACCTCCTTGGGCATACCAGCCGTAAGAATCTGGGAAACTATCACAGACACTCCATGAGACTGGCATGTTTACATACATTAGGGTTGGGTGGACCAAACACGTGGTCAATGGGGCGGCATATCTTCCAGTCCCATGGAGTCTCTGTCGGAATCTATCACGGTGAGTTGGTCAGCCTGGAGACGTGCTCAGTAGGTTTTGGCGCTTCGCTTGGAAGCTCATCTCCGAGCTCTCAGGAGCGTGCAGCTCCCAAGGCAGCTCCCAAAGCGGTGCGGCGGCTCAAGGGATATCAGGAAGATGCAGTGGAGCAAATTGAACGAAATTGAAACTCTTGATGGATGAAATCCTGCAGCATGTGGAAACTCCGTTGTGGCGTCTCCAGCGTGCGTGAGTCAAAAGATCGAACTAGACCAACTGTTCCAAAGGGGTGGTTAGTGGACGGAACGCGTGACCATTCTCCACTCACTTGGGGACTAAATACCACCTCCTTGGAACTCCAGGTAGATGCACATCCAATGACAGAGACTTTCAGAGCAAGCGCTTATTATACATGAAATGAACGTCCCCAACTTGGAGTCAAAGAGTCAACTTGATTCTCCGTGCGTCGAATAGGTCCATTCATCATGAAGACACGGCTATCTGCAAGCAAGGTGCATCCATTTGTCCGATATCCGACAGTTCATTCAATCCGGACCGAGCTGCGTCGACTCTGCGTGGTTGTTTGTGTGGCCTCATCCTCATCTTCAACGTACCGTATGTCGAACAATCCACCAGGTCCTGGCAGACATGGAATGTTGCCAACTGCATGGTGCATGGTGCTGCATGATGCTGCATGGATTCGGTGGTTTTCGGTTAGGGGATGTTAGGCCTGCGCACCCAAGATGCCGAAAACGGTGTCTGACGGCTGTTCCAGGAGCGCGGAGCGACTCGTGGTTTTCGGTGTTTGGTTTGCTCCTACTCCTGCGGAAGTTGAACCAGGGTCTGAATGTTGGTTTCACAAGATATGTGATATGTGCAAGTAGTGCTCAAACCGACTCAAACCCATCGCAAATGTCTCGTTCACCATCCAATCAGAAGGCCAAACATCTCTCTGTTGGCTGGAAAATATCCTCAGCCTTCGACCAATCTTAGACCTTTTTTCACCGGATGGTTGCTATGTCTTCCCGCAAAGCTCGTCTCTTTTTTTTCAGTGCCGGCTTGAGACACTCAGAATTCGCCCAGAATCAAGTAATTCCAGGCGTGCCAGTGATTGCTTGACCGCCGTATTGGCTCAGTGACCCAACCCCAGCCATTCAGCTGCACAGGCGTCTCTCGGTTTTGCTCCTGGTGTCGCTGTGTTCGACGGTGAAGCCAAAACGGGGCGCACCAAACGCACGAAGCTGGGTGGGTGTAGCTGAAAAAGATTGTTTGTTCAAGGAAATACTAGACCAGACACTAACCGTGTCACTCAGCAATCTGGGTTGCCTGATCGGTGATTTCTTGTTGTTGATTGCAAAAGGGGAAGCTGCTCACGTTTCGAGGGAATTAGATGCTGTATTGTGGGTGAAAGATCCTTTTTTACCACTTCGTACCACAAAAGACCCAAGGGATCTGCACCAAGAGGATGTTCTTGGTGTTTGTATGGAGTTGGGATCTTGGATGTTCTTGTTGGTGGTGCTATTCTATGACTGTCATCATCACGAAGCCGCTATTCTTGGCTGGCCATCTCTGCAAAAGTGCACCACCGGCAATTGATAAAGTATTAGCGTTTGGTTGACCATTTGTTCACTTGCACTAGGGCAGTTTGTGCAGGATTCAAGGGATAGGCCAGATGGGTGATTCCAGTGTGTCCCCCAAAGAAATGTTTCTTCGGGCTCGTCTCATTATATGTTGGGTGACGTCCCACATGTCCATGCCTATATATCTCCCAGTAATGCTACCCTCCGACGAACACATCACATGGAAGTGGATGGCATGGTCCCTTGCTGGACTACTTTCCTCTAAAGGGGATTTTCCACTTCCGTGTTATATAGTGAGTCGGAGTGTATACCAATTGATGATCTCTCATTTGTTTTGTGTTCATGTATACAGATGAGTTGGATATCCCCATAAAGAAGTTCGGCCCTCAGCTCACAATGGGCCTCACCTGGGAATCAATTTGGATCCTCAGCTTTGGATTCAACCTTGTCAGTGGAGAATGAAGGGATGTAACGAGAGGTTCCGAGTTGTTCAGTTTGAGGTAGGCCATGGTAGGCCCCAAGAATTCCATGTTGCTTCCCACACGGACGAGTTTGTTCAACAGGCTCAATGGCAGACAGAGTGTGGAGCTCAGACGGCTTTCGGATCGACTCAATGCCGAGAAAACGGCGTCCGCCTTGGTCGGGAAGCGGCATATGGATTGAGAGGACCAATGGCACAGACCCCAAGGTCGGTGGTTGAAAAATGGACCCCCATTTGTTCAGGACATCTTGGGGGAAACGTGCCATCTACTCTGAAACCACTGTAAGCCTCTTGTACACGAGAGTTGTGTCTTTCAGGGTCCTATGTTCGACTTCCGTGTGTCTGTGTGTGTGTTTGTGCGGTGATTGTCGCTTGTTTGATGGCCCTACAATTGCTATACTTGAAGTTTCAGATGATGACCAATGACCAATGACTGTGATGTTTGGGCTGTGATCGAAGCAACATGCACATGACATAGGGCTTTTGATTCTATACTCATAATATGTGACTCCAGTAGTCCAGTATATCACAGTTTTTGTTCGGGGCCATAGAACCTGTTTGCATGTTTCGATGACTGTCGCTTCGCATGAGAGTTGCGAGAAGCTCTAAGAAGCTCGCTCGACAGTACGGCACTGAAAGCTTTCTATGATATTAAGGATTATTAAGGCATTCAATGATTGTGTTTTGCGGGTGTTGGGGCTTGGGCGCGCACCCAAAATGAAGACTTGGTCCTTTCATGCCGTCTCTAAGTCCTTAAGCCACTCACCCACCGGGTCTATGGTCCCCACAACCCCATCATCCCATCCGTCTCACTCGTCCTCTAAGGAGTTGACGGCGCTGGAGCATGCCGGCATCGGCGCATCTGTGGGCTCCATCGAAATGGCCATCATGCGCCCGGCCGTGGCTCGGACGAGTTCCCGACCGGGGTCGGGACCGGGGGGGGGGGTCCGGTGACTCGATAACCATCTGACACCGGAAGAGGATCCGTTTGAAGGTGTTCTTTTCTTTTTCAGCCTTTTCGACCGTGTATTTAAGTATTTTAGAATTTTGTGAAGTCATGTCAGATTTTTTCAGACCTTTATTGTTTCTTTTTTATATGTTATTTCTTTCACCGGTGTGATTCTCACATTGTGATGGGTAGACTCTCCGTTCCGAAAGGTGCGCAACCCCCCCCACGAGTCGTCGATACTTCGGTGCGCGTTTTGCGCAGGTCTTTTGGAAGACGGAGCTCCAGCAGCAGCGATTCTCGCTTTCAAGGGCCATCAACCCTTCCTACTGTTCCTTGCACGCGTTTTGCTTAGGATTTGCCGTGTTTTGCTTCGGATGAGTTGTAGTTTGTCCGACTTGGGTATTCTCAAAACGATGCTAGTTCAGACTGCCCTACAAGTCACTCTGTTTCACAAAGAAACGCCTTGATGATCCTCATGCTCAGCTTTACAGTTCCACCAGTTGACAACTTTATCTCCAAGACGTCCATGTTGGGGGAATTTTGGTGATTTGAACGAGCAGTGGGAGCAATAATATATAGCGCTCTGTATGGGTAGGCGACAAGCCGATGTTTAGAATGTGCTCACACGCATTCGTTCATTCACCTATCAGTTGGCCTAAGGCTACAGGGGCCTACCCTTGGCAATCGTGTCTCAGATGCCAACCGTGACGCGATGTGACTCGAAGGCGGAGGACACCCTTTGAATCGCTAGGCCGCTGGAGCGGTCTGTCCTGGGGGTTCCCATGATTCGGGGTGTGGAAAAAGGACGTCTCAGACAGACAGACATGTGCTGCGGGGGGGCTGCGAATTGTGAAGCATCGAAACTATCCCAGTGCTGTGCTTGATCCACTCCAACTTAAGCACATGGTAAACCTTTTCCCGTAGTCCTAAAAGGGGTGCTCACCCACCAGCAGTCATCCTTGTTTGATCATGTGTGATCGATGTCTTGCAGTGACCCGTGAGTCAATCTGATCGCTGGATCGGCCCTATCCGAGGCCTCCATTGCCCCGATCACTTGTATCCAGCGTGGCCCTTTTTGGGGGGCCGAGTGGTGGGCTTGACGGGAGGATTGGGCCCACAAGGACGAAGGGCTCTTGAGTGCTTTTTGGGGATAGCTAGTTCAGCTAGTTCCTTTGATGGGTGAGGGCCAACGAACTAGCCTTTCACAGGTGAGGTCCCTTTGAGGGGGATAGCTAGTTGGGGCCCCCCAAGTCGGTGCTTGGACTTCCAACCACTCTGGAAGGCGAACAGCATGGTTCTGTACATGAACTTGGACCCGTGAACGCCGTTGACCCCATCGAAGCTAGGCATATCACAGACGGCTTGGCTGTTGGGTTCTAGAACAAAAAGGCTTCGCATCTTTGACCTATATTGGGCCCATATTTGACCCAGAAAAAAAATAAGAAACCAGGACCTTCAACGTGACCTTTTGATATCCTAGAATGAGGTCACTTAGTCCCTAAAGAGGTCACTTAGAGACTCCAAAGAGGTCACTTTGAAGGTCCTGGAAGACATAAATAGACTCAGCTGGTGGCTGCAGATTGTGCAGGCATGGGTCGATCTCCCCAGAGGCCACCGCAGCACCCGAGGTTTGGCGCCAACAGCCTCATCAGCTCAGGGATCAAGGTGCCACTTTAAGGGAACAGGCTTGACAGGAGTTCAGCAACTCCCCCGGTAAGGAAGTTGGAAAGAAAGCCACCTGAAATACCGGATGTCTCATTGTTCAAAGTGGCTGGTGCAACTGTGGTAGGAGGCTGGATCAAAATGAACTGTTCTTAAAACAGGGGATGTAGTTGTAAGATTCGCTCATTGCCAGAGGGATTTGTCAATGAGACTTTGGATATACTTCTGGAAAGGCTGTGACACCTTTGAGCTACAAGAACATCCGGATACACTGGCAGGGCTGAGCACGGAAAGAAGTTGAGAGACTATGTTTGTATATGTTTGTTATTATGCCCTTGCAAGGGCATCGCTACCAGTAACAAGAAGCTACTAGTAGCTCCTGGCATTACTACTAGGAGCAGGAAGCTACTAGCAACAAAGGGCATCGCTACTAGGAGCAAGGACTGGGGGCGGTGCCAAGGTGGGCCTCATCAAGCTCCGGTCGATTGACGTTTCGCCTCCATAGTCATAACTGCTGAGGTCATGAGAACTGACGAGATTTTACCAGGGTCATCCTTTGTGACTAACAGCCAGGGATTTGGATGTGTATTTGGATTCAGGTATGATATCCAGGAACTGGCCACATCTTCTTGAAGGAAGGCACACCCCTTCTGTTTGAATTCAAGAGTGATCCCCCTTCTGTTCGAAATCAAGGGCATTCTCCCCATGTCCTCCATCTACACCACCCGGACCGGTCGATGGTCCGCCAGGCGACCAAAGGCCAGGTCGCAGGGACCAGGGGATCCTGGACGTCGACCCGTTCGTCGCTCGGTACCATAGGTATGTCCCATGGTACAAGTACCTGCTTTTATTTCCCATTTTATCAGTACTTGAAGTCGGGTCATAGATAGGACTTTGCTACATACCAAACCAGCAGTTCAGGTGGCTCCACATTTCATTTTTGGAGGGTGCACTGAGTTCAGCCATTTTTACCGATGAGGAATTATTGTTTCAACGCAGTGTCTCGGGATTTGCCAGGATTCCAAGATACCCCCTCCCAACTGGTGGAAGACAGTGGACCCCAAGGACTCAAACCGTAGAGGATGCTTCACAAAGACCTGACCACCATTTGGATGAACGAACAAACCAGTTGTGGCTTGAGTGCAAGAAAGTTGTGCATCCGATCTACCCATGACCATGACTTCAGGGTCTGTGTTAGCGATACGTGAACACATCTGGGGTGATTTCTGGCTTGACAGATTGCCTTCTCTCTGACAACATAGTGGCTTGCCATCCCGAACCCAACTGCACACTGCAACTGAGAATCAAGCTATGTCTCCCCTTGGTTCTTCATGGGGTTTTCCGCACTTTTTGCATGGACTCTGCTTTTGGGCCATCAACAGGATGAAGCCTTTGGGCTCCCAAACCCCCCGCGTCGGCCCTTCGAGTGAGGCGCCTCCGAGCTCCGGGAGAGCGAGCGCTTGGGCGTCGCCGTCGTGGCCGGCGTGCCGGTCCGAGCGGATGGTCGGAGCTGGAAGGGACTGACCAAAGAGAAAGGGTCCTCTCATTGTTTTGGGAGTTGTGGTAAAGAGTGTGTGAGTTCAGTCGCTTGGAATCATTTGGATGATTGGGCAAGGATGCAGCAGGTTAGTATGTTCTTTGCTTCCTGCTTGGTGGCAGCCAAGTACTAAGTATAAAATTACACGCAAGCTCCAAACTGCACAGAAGAACCCCTTAACATCGTTAAAGTGATCACATCTTGTGAGCAGTTTTTACACAGGGGTTGCCCCTTTCGATCCGTTCCCAATCTTGCCCGTGCGATCACTGAGTGACTTAGACGATGCTGATCCTGCCTGACTGTGAGTTGTTAGTTTGCAAGACCGGGACCGGGACATCCAAGAAATACACAACAAACATCATCAAACATCAATGAAATATAGATATTCACCGTGTTGAGTGATCCTGATATGGATGGTGACCTTTTCTGGAGCCAAGGCTGCATCAGCATTGGTGCAGTGCCCCTGCCAACTGGTAGAAGAGACTCTTCTGCAAAACATGATCTGGGTGTGCGGAAACCAGATCCGTCTCTTTTGCAGGGGGAGTTTTGCTTCGAACTCCAAATCATTCGCATCTCGACTTGGCCCATTGGTCTGTGAGTCTGTTCTGGTGACGACCAACTTTTCGGTGGATCTCTAGCCTCGAACATGGTCGAAGCTTGCAGTGCGCCATTGACACCGGTGGCGCAAGCAGTGTAGATCTGCATGTGTGTATGGAGCCATGTGTTCCGATTAATTTCGATCCACCAAAGTTTGGCGGTTCATGATTGGAGCCAGTTGGTTGAAAAAAGGGGTGGTGTCCTTTGATCAAGGGGCAAGCAGTAAGTGACCGGGTCAGATTTTCAGGTGATACTTGGTTTTACTTATCCCCAAAAGGGGCACTGAATTGCAGGATTGTGTCGTCGTTGGGCCTTTCCGCACCGGACATCGCTGCTATTTGCTCGGCTTATTAACTCTTCTTTCTTTATTTTTAGTATGGTTTTACGGTCTTTGAACTGAAACCAGATTGTTGTTTGATACAACAAACCTTCGCGATCCAAAACAGCTCACACGGTTTGGAGCAGGATGAAAACAAGTGCATCTCATCGTTCCTCAAGCTTGCTGGGTTCAGGAAGTTTCGACGTCAAGCACTGCAAAAAAGACCAAATTCGTCAGATCTATGGTGAAAGACTATATAGGTATATTATTAGTATATGTGGAAAATAATTATACCGATTCATATATATATATATATACACATTATGAGACTGATGAAGTTACCACATACTAGTGAACCGTGGGCAGTACTTACTGGTTTCAACTCGCACCTCTCTCTCTCTCTTCTCTCTGTGCTAAGGTGAATCAGTCCAATCATGGATCGTCAATGTTTTCAACAGCCAGGCGCCGTTTTTGTCAGTTGGGTTTTGCCGGTTGGGAGAAGTCTGTGACCCTTCTTCTCGCTGATGTCCAAACATCCCGGTGAGGCCCAGGTATGAGGACGAAAGAAGCCATCCAGTCATGTTTATGCCTACGCGTGGAAAACCGCACGTGTAGTGGTTGCATTTTTCGAACACGTACCTTTTCGGAGCTGTCAGATGTTAAAGGCAATATGAAGTTCCTTCCAAGTATGAAGACCAGGGCTGACTACCAGTGCACGTCCCGACCCACCGAAGCTGAGAGTTTGGAGAACAATGTGAGGACATTCGCACCTCCACAGCCGAATGATCTTCCTTCGCAGTTTTCGGGGGGGGGGGCAATTTGCATGATGTATTTGCCGATTTGGTCGGACTTTTCCTTCTTTGGCTCCAGTTTTACGTCTTCATGGAGGCGCTCCTGCGCCGTCGCGCTCTTTGCGCGGCCCTGGTCTTAGTGCTGCGGCTGGGCGGCTTCCAGGCATATCCATGAGTGTGTGTGTTTATGCCTCGAAATCCTTTTTTATAAATTACCTGGCGTCTTGATTTGCAGGAGCTGCTGATGCGGTCAACTTTGGTAAACCGCCAGTGGAAGGCAAGAAGGCGATTGAGAAGAGCGGTGTCTTGGACCACATCATGAGTCACGACGGACTTGGCCAACGAACCGTTCTGTTCTCTGATGGGGCAAAAGTCTATCCTTCTTTGTGTGAAAAGATGCAGGTAAAACACTTTGCTTGTTCTCACCGGTCCGGTCAGTTTTGTCACACGGTGAAGTTCAAGAGAAAGACTCTGAAAGTTCATACGGGCACGATTGATGGAGTTTGGCCTTTGTTGAAAAAAGCTTTGCCCAAGCAGATCAGAACCACGGACGTCACCGATAAGACAAAGATCAATCAGAAGATCTGGCGTCACGCAAGGGCGTGGCAGTGGCGATGGGAACATGCCAAGCATGATTCCCTGGCCACACTTACTGCGAAAACGCTGCGAGGCATGTGAGAAACAGGCGCAGATGTCCTGTGATGATACATTCTTTCTTGAAAATGAGATCTCATTTTAGGCATGGTCAAGCATGTTTTGTGTGGCAAATACCAAACCAGTTGTAAAACCCCTTACAAATACACTCATTTCTCTGCATTCAACTTGCAAAAACACTGCAAATACCACGCTGGAGTGCTATAGATAAAAGCAAAAAAACAACAGACCACACGTTCAGAAATCCACGCGTCGGGATGTTTATGGTCTATATATGTCTATATACTTGTTACATGCGGTTAGTCATCATATACAGTAATACAAAGAACATATAATACTGTATATACATATCGAACTCCTTGAAAGAACTTCGGCAAGAGTCACCTCGGCAGAGCAGAGAGTCGCCTTTGATTGTTGGTCTTCCTTCGGAAAGGTTGAGGCCCAAAGACGTCGCCACTCGTTGTGCTTCTCGATGCGCGATGATGCGTGCGCACGTGTCGCAGGCGTGTGGTGTCAGAATATGGCTTCTTGGGCCTCTACCGTGGATATTCCATGGGTGCCACACGAGAAGGCAGCTGAGCGTGAGATCAGAGGTCGTTCACAGGAAGGATGGTTAAAGGACAACTCCAACAACTCTAACAGTGGAGGAAGTAGTGGAGGAGAGCTATAGCCTCGATCCTGGAGGAGAACCCCCGGATCCCAGACTTGAAAATCATTGTAGATGTCGAAAAGTCATTTCTTGGGGCTGCAGGTTCATCCAGATGCTCCTAAAATCCAATAGTCCCACAAGAGATTGTAGGGAACTGGGATGACATCCCCATTCTAATAGCTAGCCAGACTGTCTCAACGTCTCCTTCGACATGACGACGACGTGTACGTGAAACAAAACGACTCACGACTCGACTCCAATACGACAAAACACAACTCCAATTCGACTTGCGATGGAGGCATTTTTTGCAGCTCCTATATGGCGGTGAACCCTATGGTGAAGAGTTGGGTCCAAGAGCAACGCCTGGACCCGACAGTCGACTCGGGCAGTCAAGAGCAGTCATGGTGGGGAGGAAAATACTGCGAGGGGGAGCAGGAAAAATGGCCTTCTTGTGTGTTTGTGTTGGTTGGTTTGAGGTGTTTGCTGTATGTACTTCGTATATATTACTTTGTGCATGTTTGGCAGGATGTTGTGCAGGCCACATGGTTGATTGAAGTGTTGGCCTTGGATACATCACGTCAGTTGGAATGCTGGAACACGCAGATATATTTCCGTATACACTCGTGAGAAGTCTGTAGTTATTCCCGTCGTGACATTATCTAAGTTGAATCTCACGTGTCAGATGGTGCAGGATACAAAACCATGCTACTTTGATGACGTTTGTCTTTTTGGTGTGCATGGCTGGCTACAAAACAATTAGTAAATAGGCTTTGACAGAGTTTGGAACTGGCATAAGACAATGTTCCGACGCCACCAGTGCATGGCTCCACGTGGGCCCTGTGACCCCTCCCCTATCAAGCTATCCACAGCATTCCGAGTGTTGAATATGTTGTCCACCACCAGCCTTAAAGCGAGAAATGATGTGAGGCTAACCTGCAGCATGAAGCTAGCATTTAACCACGACCACATCGACCTAACCACCAGTTTACCTACACCCGCAGGCATCTACAACGAATCTACACCGGTGCGCTCGGAGACCGGGACCGCCAGGAGCTCTCGGACGCCGCAGCCACCCTGGCGGCCTCGGCTTCTTGGATCTGGGAGCGGATGGGGTGTGAAGAGAGGTGGCCAAGGCTTCTTTCGGGGGGTTCCATAGTGAACTTCACCCTGGAAAACTGGTGTGTATGTGTGTGTTTTTCTTTCACATGGGACTGTTTAATCGAAGAGAGGTGTTTTTGGGGTCGCTAAGGACTTTCTATGAAAACTTCCCCTAGGCTTCCTGGCCCGCCATTGATCTAGTAGGCCTTACCGAACCAACTAAGGATTTTACACTACAAAACCAGGTCAATCACTTTTGTTAATGGTCGAACGGAAGTCTAGGGTTCATGGAGTTTCGATCCCGGTTCGGAGGTGACTTGGGTTGATGCCTGGCGTGCAACGAACTGTCGTATATGAACGGGATATACTGATATACTACATGCTACAATTCTGTCCAACATGTTGTAGGGATGTAAACAATTAAAAATGGTAGGGAACCATCCTTCGCAACAAACCTTTGTAAACCAATCATGCATGGCGTGCTGGGTCCTGGGTGAGGTTTGAACATCGTATAATACTTCAGCATGGCTACTGGGAACCAGTCATCCTTGTCAGCACCCACATCTTGCTCTGGACATGTTCCCTATATTGGAAAGTGGTGGGCTGCCAAGTTGGAGTTGAAGATTCTACAAGATTCTGGGTGCATGCCCTGAAAAAAAAAACAACATGATGCGGAAAGTCTGGGGCACAACAGCACAACTCTTGATCCTGCCATATCCTGCCTCCTTTGTTTTCGCTTTCGCTCTCTTTCGCTCTCTCTCCCCCCCGTCGTCCGAAAAAGCGGCCTCGCGGCGCTGCATCCTGGCGCCACACGAGGCCGTGTCCGGCACCTTGGGAGCGGCCCTGTCCCATCCAGCTGACACACTGAAGACCCGGCTACAGGCAGGTGCTTCTTGGCTCACCCGTTGCGACCGAACGGACGGACTGGGTCGGGCGGACTGCGCGGGTCCGGTGTCTAGATGGGCGATTGGGGAATGCTTGATTTGGAGCTTAACTTGCTGGGTTACGGTTATGGATGGTTATGGTATACTTATAGGTGATGATGAATCATGAAGCAAGTAAGTATAAGCATGCAGGATGTATGTGTTTTTTTAGAAATCGTATACTGTAGTTGAATTGAACCGCTGGGAGCCTCACCAAGAGCTGAACCAAGAGGTTATCGTGAACCACAAAGGGGCCTCTTGGAAACGCTGTGCCCTTGCAGGCAAACAACAACAAGACACTCGCCTTGAAGACTTCTTTGTAATGAGAGGAAGTTGTCATGTCCCTCCACCTCCTTACTTTAGAGGTGTTTTACAAGTGGAACCTTTAAGTCCAAAACCTTTTCCTTTGCTGCGCATCCCTCCAAGTCGGACAGGCAGCACACCTGGTTAGGATGAGCCCCTGGTCAGGGGACCAGTGACTGCAGTGGGTAGAGCCTTCTGAACTTGAAAGGAACATCCAACAGATGAAATCCTAAAAATCCTGTGAGATTCTGAGATTCAACTATCCCTGAAACAAACCAAACAAAGAACTGGTCCCACCCTTAGCAGGCAGTTCTGATAGGCAGTACCATGCAAAACCCGTTGAACCTGTTTGGGTTCCTATATCATTGCATCTTCCACTGAGGCGCTGCCGCTACGACCTGGAGAGCCAGCAGAGGTCGGGTGCACCGAGTCGGCGAGTTCAGCTGGTCACATCCATTGTGAAGAAGGGTCCAGCAATCGGTCCAGCATCCCTTGGTTATTCTAATGGAATACAGTATATGATGATATATATATATATACATGTGACTTGTGACTATATACGTATATATATTATACTCGTTACATGTGGAGTTACCATCCACCAACACCTGGCTTGATTCTTTTGCTCGGAACCTGCTTTACAACATGCCCAAAGGATCCCAAAGGAAAGGGATATCCATGACTTGCTGAGCCGTTGCATAGGGAAGCCTCGGGTTCTTGACGGCTTCTCTTTTTCTCGAGTCCCCAATCAATAGTCATTGGGTAACGAAAAGTATGTTTTCAATTATATACTATGTCTAGATGCACCTAGTCGTTCCCGTTTCCAACTCAGAACGCCATGACCGATTTATCTCCTCGCTGTTGAACCGAGCTTTCATCCACCAGGCTTCAAGAGTTGGTGACTAACTGGTGGAGCGATGGCAGCGTCTTCATTTGTTTTGGGATCCTCCCAAGACAAGAACTGCACGTGCCAAATCAGCATGTGCCGCCACCCTTGGGCCGCAGCCCGATGAGACATGCTGCCACCACCAATTGGCCGAGTTCTCGGCGGATCTTCGGCGGATCGTCTCACCCGGGAGGCTTTACGAATCCACGGGCCCATTGATGCGCTCAAGGACGCCGGGTTGACGACGGTGGAACTCCCCCAGACGTTCGCCGCATAGCATATATATATATATACATAGCCCCTATATAACCCCTGTTTTCTTCTAATGACCAAGCATTTCTGCACCAGGTGGGGGCTATGCTGGTGTGGAGGGTATGGATAACTCCACCCTTTGAGGTGAACGGTGCTTGGAACTGGGCCCAGACATTACCGACAGTCGAAGATCTGGAGGTTTTCCAAAGGCAGCAAAAGATGATCTTCTACTGTATATGTTCAGTTTCTTCTTGCCGTTGTTCTTCAGGACATGAGAGAGAAAGGCGACCTTTTTAAGAAGTGCTTTGCAGGTCGGATCTGTGGGAGGAATGAACTGGAGTGGTGAATGGGAGGACCAACGGTCCAACCTCAAACCTCAGAAGTGATGTGGTACTGTGTAATTTCCGCACCACCGTCGCCACCTGCCGACTTTATGAGCACGTGTGGGAGCTGGGGTGATTGAAAGAAAAGAAACAACGACGTATTTTTTTTTGGCTGGCGGCCGGCGTGTTGCTTGTCTAGACAATTGTTGTCGATTTTTTGTGTGCTGTAGACTGTAGATAATATCAAACAACTTGCACAAGGAACATACATCCACCACGAAAAGGGAACACGGCCTTTTGCGCCTTTTACCTCATGACCTCATCTCGCCCATTCTTGGGACATTTTGGGGATGACCAACAAATACCAACAATTTGGGGTTTGCTCACCAGTTCTGCAGGTGTTGGATGTTGTGCTGGTGAGCTGCGAGACCCTGCTGATGTGTTCGTATCGCTTATTCTTGCTTATATTACGTACAATTTGGATAGAATGTGCGACCACTCAAACTGAGAAGGCTCAAACGGTTCAGATGTTTCTTGGGACCCATGTGAAGTACGGTGGAAAAAGATATGGTCTTGTTCCATTGCTGTAGCCATCCTAGAGGACGTGTTCTTTGCAGACTCTTTGTCGCAGCAGATCTGTGTGGAAATTTGGCACACACCCAGTTCTTCTCTTAGTACTCGTGCAACCACCTGTCTAAGACGACAGCACCGCACCGCGGGGAGAGACCCGGAGACATCTCGGTGCCGGGCTCATGTCATGGTGCCGAGGCTTCTCGCCCAGATTATTCCGATTGATTTGCTGCACGTATATTTATAGCGCCTCGGCCGCTGCGCCATGCGGGCCATATGCCGAGAAGGGCGCCATCTGGTCGATGGTGATGGTTAACACATGTTAACAGGTCCCGCAAGCAAAGAGTGAAAACGTCATCTCATATCCCATCCCTTTTCATTCGTAGGTACTGTAAGCCATTCGAAGCCTTTCTAGGTAGTACCTTCCTAAATTTAGGTTTGAATAAATCCAACATTTTGTCCCTAAAGGCACTTTCTGATGGAGGAAGGACAGTTGTGAAGAATGCAGGAGGGGTGAGAACCTGGCCTAAGATCCAGCAATATCTTTTCACAACTACTTCACAAGGCAGCAACGAAGGCTGGGCAACATTGTGACAAGACTGGAAACACTGGGAGGCTCTCAGAAATAAGACAACATATTTTGCCAGGGTTTCTATGGCATGGCTCACTTTCTTTTTTTCATGATAGACTCTGTGCCTCAAGTTCACAGAACCTTCAAATTGAGTTCATTGCTGGGGCGACTTCATCGAGTATTGGACTTCATCCTGAGGACTCGATTCGTCGGGATCGTCCTTGTCCGATCACTTGATAGCACCGGTATTCTTGTGTTCCAATTATGTAGGTGCAATATGGTGCAATGCAGTCCGACAATCATCCCTTTTTGTGACGTATCCAGAACTGGCACAAGCCACTCTTTTTCCTGGCAAAGTTCCAGTTCAAGGGTACATTCCGAGCAGAAGCAAGTGGCGCAACCTCTCAGCAACACCACTGAAAGAGCGTAATCTCTCTCTCTATCCAATCCAACAAACATGGAACTGGACAAGAGCCCGGAGAAGACGTTTTGTTCCTCTACAAATAGGGTGTTGTCCACTTCCAGGTTTGGAGAGGATACATTCCCAATTCCATCATGGACCGGGTGGATGGATGGAAGGATTTCACAGGTAACCGATGTGGGACGACAGGTGGTTTCCTCTCACTCCACCGATGTCGATGAGACACGTCTGCGGACCGGAAATCTGCCACTTAAAGAGAAACCAAAGAGAAGGTGTCACAATGTCCGGCCTCAACTCTGGAACGGGACCTGTTACTAGTTAGCGATGCCCTTCTTACTAGTAGCTTCTTGTTACTAGTAATGCCAGGAGCTACATTACGTAGCTTCTTGCTCCGTTCGTAGTGATGCCCTTGTTACTCAGGTATCTCGACTGAGTTCTTGGAATCCCTCTATCGCTCCGCCTCTGTCGGGGTCCTCGAGCGACGGCTTCGATGTCGCCGGTCCTCACGACGTCGAGCGGTGGGTGGTCATTCGAACGGGCAGTGGAGGGTCTTCGAAGGGAGCGTTGGAGAGCGTTCACTGGAAGAACGCTGTACATCGTTTAGTGATATTTAGTGTGTGTGTGTGTGTTTTTGCGCTTGTTTGGAGGTTGATTTGCACTTTACAAAACATGTTTCACGTGTGAGAACGCCTCACAAAAAAGAGCTGCACAATGAGCGGAGATTGACGATGCCAGACCTCCCTCGATTTGTAAGGTCGGGAGTATATCAGTGTGACCCGACCCACCATCTCCAGCACTTCTGTTTTTGGTTCGGTTTGAGGGGCTACATGCTGGCACATGCCTATGTATTCAGTTTCGAGCAATTGTCATGTAGATAGCAGCTGTTCAACTGGATTTTGAGCTATACATATTTCTATCAAAAAACGTCTCGCGCCAATTCGTGCCATCAGTATCCACCCCTTGAGAGTACCATCCTCACGGTAATGGCTGAAGTAGCACCAAGGAATCGAGGAGACGTGCAGGTAGTGAGCCATCTGGAAGATCATTGGAACCTGCAAAGTACTTGGCGCGGGTCTTGTGGACAGTTCTTAGTTTGCTTTGCTCCTTCTCCATCTCCATCTACCATGATTTACAATCGAACTATATCGAACTCAGCGGCGGAATCCTTCTCCCTCCGAGGTGGATCTGGTTGTGGCTGGCACCAGAGTCCAAGTGTCACAGAGCCTGGCTTAGGCAGGGCCTGGCCATAGGAGATCGAAGATGTACGGGTCAAGGATGGCGATTTCTTGGAGCCGTTCAATTGATAGCTGTCCAAAACCGCGAAGGTTGGAGGGGATGAATACGATAACCCACGCCTATACCAGCTTTTGGGATTATTGTTCTTGTGCTAGACTTTGCTGTCTATCCGTGTCCAGGTTCGTTTTAGCGATCTCTATCTCACAGGATCGGGCAGAAGAGGAGTTCAAGAGCAATCCCAGCATGAAAAGGGGCAGAGCTCCTCGAAGTTTGTGTCATCAGTTGGCAGGACTTCTGGGCTGTCTCACCTATCGTCGTGTTGGCATCCCAAAGTGGTGTGGTAGTCCATTGGACACCCTTTGGATGGTCCTGGTATGTTCAGAGCTTATAGTGACTGGAACCCTAACTTGAATATGTTCAGATCTAGTCATGTGTATTTAACTTGAATGGATTCACACTTGTCACACTTGTCAGAAAGACACGTTGACCGAGGATGCAGGGAATTCCTGTCAGGATAGCATTAGTTGCCATACTTTGAGGTTGAGGAATCCAAACTGCCTCGAGGTCCACCGCAGAGGGACTGAGAGCACAGGACGCACACGCGGTCCGGTATAGCTTTCTGTGTGCGGGGTCACAGCAAGTCAATGCAAGGGTTTGATCATTTCTGACACCCGAAATCTTGGATAAATTGATCCAGAAAGGTCTCGTGAAGGGTCTCATGGAGTCTGCGAGATTATCCGAAGAGCTCGGCTTGGGTACCTTGACCATGAATTGATAGGAATTGGTTTTCGAGGGTAACATTCGAGCTGATCTAGACTCTGCACAAACATATCACTACTTGCAGAGACGCGGTTTCACCAACAATGCCTCTTGGCCAATGACCTCATCTTAGAGCTATCCTCCCTTCCTCGTTATGACCAGTTTCAATTGCTGCCCGATTGAAGCATGCCATACAGCCTCATGACAGAAAGAGGGTGTGGCCGCTGTGTTTTTTCTTCAGTGTCCAAAGGCTCTCCAAAAATGGCTACGGCCAGAAACATAAGGCTTGGATCACACACCCAAACCCACACACGATCCATACCTCGATCCATACGGTATGGATCAAAAGGTGGGTGTGTGATCCAATCCCTTGGATCACACAACTACTAGTGCTACCACTGCCACCACCACAACAACAACTACTACTACTACTACCTCTGCTGGTACTACTGTTGTTACTGCCACCACTCCTACTGCTACTGCCACTACACTTGCTACCACTACTGCTGCTACTACAACAGCTCTACTACTGCTACTCACTACTATCACTAGTATTACCACCACCACAGATTTAGTGGAAGCCACTAGTTTCAACTTCAAATTGACGTCCCATTCTGGCAAAGATTTAACGGAATCCGCTAAGTGTGGTCACAGCCGGGACTCAAACCCTGACACCGTGGAAGTAGAGAATTGAAGACCGACGCTTTAACCATTAAGCTATGGAAGCCTCTGAGTGGAGGAGCCAACCCAACTATACCATATTAAAGAAGGTGCCAGACGACAAGATAGTGGAAGGCCAAACAGAATTAGCGGCAGCCACTAACCAGTGTTCGGAGTGAGCCTCCAATCTAGAGAGCTGTTAAGCCACCACCTATTAAACTAAATGACTTGAGAGCCCACTGAATCACCAATTTGCGTGGCTAGCTAATGGCCTTTTTGGGCTTCTTGTATCGTCTTCTTGAACCAAAACAAGGGTTGGAGAAATGAGGCTAGTGGACCCCAAAAACTTTAATCCGCAAGGCCTCTTGTTAGCCCAAAAGTGAACCAGCGCCCATTGCCACCCACTCTACCCAACCATGGCCCAATATGTGGACAGTGGAGCCCAATGAATTTAGCGGCGGCCAGTACTTCAAAACAGGCTTGCCACAAACAGGATGGCTTTGATCGTGGAAGCCACCACCTTCACAGTGAACTGGTGAGAAAGTGGTGGGGTGGAGCGCCACCATGCAGATATGTTGGGCTTTGCCCCGGCACAGTAACAGTGACCACAAATCATACCACAAAAAAAAGCACAGCAATTTAGCCATAGTTGGCATTAGGATGACTTTCATTTGCCCTTTCTAACGCTGGCTACATTAATCATGTGCTACAAAACCCTCAAGTCAACCCGATGCTTTTTTTCATCTGAGCGCAAGCAGTGAAGAAATGATCGACAATATCGATCCAGTCGAAAAGGCTTGGGGATTCTGCTGCCAGACAAAATGAGCTGGGCAGAGCTGGGCTCTGGCAGGCACTGGCAGGCCTGGTAGAAGGGGAGGCAGAGGCCGGGCAGGCCGCAGGAACTGTGGGCCGCCCCGGTGTTCCAGGCCCGGGGGTGGGCTGCCCTTTAAAACAAAAGAAAACTGGAGACCCGCTATTTTTAAAAGGAAAATGAAACAAAAAAGCACAAAAAAAAGCACAAA